GAACATTGCTCAACATCATGAAAATTAAACCTTATTTTCAATAAGCAATCCTGAAAAATATTTGGGGGTGCTTAACTTTTTTCCAGGTGTATATATTCCATTCTTATTGTTAACAAATAACTATATTAATTATGACTAATACACCTTTAAATTTCATTACTATTTTCTTTATCTGGCATCTATTAAAATTCCCCGCTCACACATGGTGTAACAAACTGATTCATCATATCTTTACTGGAGAGATGAATCATCAGAATATTCTCATGCATACCAATTGGAAAATAACCTGTCACTTGTGATTGCTCTATTTAATGATGAAGTGAATATACACATTCGTCAACATAGAGACTATGGAAATTGTACATTATACCCTACCAAAGAAGGTGTAACATTTACACATGTTGAATGGCAGGGTTTTAAATGACTATATATCTGAAATCCATTGAGGACTTTGGTCTAGATCACCATAACTGTATTATTAATGTTGTGTGTGATGAGTCAAGAAATGTGTCTATGTATAGAACTCAATATAATCTTAACAATAATAACTTCAAAAGAGTGTGAATGGTATCAGTTATGTGAACAGGCTTGTTTTATGGATTCGTATTTAAATCAGTCAAAACTAATTGAATCTAAACTTACATCTAATTGCATTAACTATAACATTATAAATTGTTATTCGAAGTTTATACTGAACATATATCCCTGTCATACAAAAACGTAGAAACGAGAATTGTTGGTCTTGCAAAATCGAGTATCTTGGTCAAGCTGCTCATACATGCATGATGTTATATGATGATGAAGATATCTGAAGACTGCTCTGAATCAAGTGGGTAAAAACAATATATTAGATGTGTTTCAAGATAGAGCTAGTAAACTAAACATACATGATTCTAAAAGATTAAATCCCATCGATTTTGTTGAAAATGGTGAAATTATTCAAGAGCTATCTGATTTCTCTGTATAAAAGGTTAGATTTATAGGATCTACTAATTTTATTCTATATCATTATGACGAATAAAAAAATATTTTCACGAGGTTTGTTTTGTTGCATCATGTGATCTACAACTAAGGCTTATATGATTTAAGAAGATTAATATCTCGTACATAAAAAACTAATTAATATAGATTACGCTGACAATATTTGAAATTGTAATTTTTTTTATCAATCTTCCTACAATAATGGTTTGATATTTGATCTACCTAAAAAGTTATATCTAGTAAAGACGTTTTTACATTAAATTGTCTTGTAGCAAAATTATTAACAAACATATCATTACCATCTTTATAAAATCCAAATTCAGATAATAATTTTTGTTTGGATACGTGTCTACATCTTTAATAGCCATAATATATACAATATTGGCCACCCACTGTCGAATAAGACCCTAGCACAACTTTTTTATTGTAAGTTCACATTCGACAGTTCTTTTTGGTGATTTTTGATGTTATGATTACGTGGAAACAGACCAAGGAAATCAAAATATTCTCATTTTGAACAAAGGAGATACAGACTCACAGACTTCCAGATTTATGACTCAGATTCAGGATAACAATGTAGAGCTGTTTGTCTGCACATTTAGGTAGATGATTGTTGGCAAACACACCTCCGAGCTTCTTTTGTGTACAAAACTTGTGAGAGTATAGAATAAATCTCCACAGTTTTCATTACTTCTTAGATATTAGTGATGATTTTCTAAATTGATCAATTTCTAAAATGGACTGAAATTCTGCATAGACAAGAACGTTTATAGCATTGAGTAATGATTTACCAAATTGTATTTCAATACGTAACTTTTCCATTTTCACTAAGTTAAAGTGTGAATCACCAGTGACCATATCAGCTGTAAGATCAAAGACAAAGAACGTGAAATCACCAGTGACCATATCAGCTGTAAGATCAAAGACAAAGAACGTGAATCCTCCCGAGTATTCGTCACATCCTATATTGATTTTTTGATCTTGAAACTGTTTTCCTGTCCCACTAATGATGTTTCGTAGCTTTGTGCATACAAATCAGTATTGAAATTAGTGTAATGGCCATGTGAGAATTTGCTTTCCATTTACATTGATTCCCAAGAAATTGACACTGTAATATTTGAAATTTTAAGAGTTTTTCTTAAAAGATCCATTAAAGGTATCCTTATCAACACATCCTCTAATGGGACGTGATCTAAAATGCGTGAAAGGATTTCACATGAAAAGAATGACTGATGGACTAGAAGCTGTGCCCTTTACCCACATAGACATAGTCAGATTACTTCTCTGGTTTCATTATAACTCGGTAGTATTTATAGGCATACAGATTGTGAGATGAAGAAATGAGTTTGTTATTCAGATACATGTCAACTTCAGAAAGTAGAGAATGAAGAAACAGATTGACAGGCACATACTTATCCTCATCTTTTTCTCTGTCTGTCCTCTCAATTTGACAATTTTTGTCTTCACATGTAGATGTGATTGTACTGGATCTATGTATTGATCCTGATATAAACAAAATTTATGGGTTCCCTGTCAATCACCAGTGACAGAAGATAATATTCCGTCTAATGATTCCCTCAATCACTCTTTGCGTAGAGGAGAGAGAGAATAAATCTACTTCCAACTTTTGTGTATGGTTTGTAGAGCATTTTTCATGCCACTGTCTGTTGTAGAGCATTTTTCATGCCACCGCCTGGTTAGAGTAATTAAAGTCTGTTGACCTCATTCTGATATTGCGATGATCTGAACTATCATAGACACTGACTAAATTTTTCAATGCTGTGATGTACTTGTATGTTCCATGATGAGTAAAATAGCTCCACATTTTAGTTTTAAAAGTACAACTAAAATGTTCAACTATAGATGCTTTTGTTTCGTTATGCATAGTAAAAAAATTAATGTATTGTTCTTTGAGATAACATTGAAACAGTCAATTGGTAAAATCTGTTCCAACATCGGTTTGAAGTTTACAAGGTTTCTGGACCTTGTTTAAAATTTTCTTCAAGGATTTTACGAGTGTTGCTTCTTTATTATCTTTGTTTAAATGCCTAAAGGTATAATCTATAAGACAGGTGGCATTTTCTGTTAACCTGTAATTACATACAGTGGAGGTCATTTCAAGAATCTGAACACATCTGTTATTTCGTCAATTAATCTATAATTAGATATGGCGGATTCATACAACCATGCCTGTAATTACTATCCATTAATGTTCCATCCTGATTGCAGACAGAATGAATGTAAGCTCCTATTCAGGTCTTTTTATACATCTTCCACAGGAAGTTGACAAAGTCATGTCCTGATTTTACTCTTTATAGTTAGTTATCTTCCATTATTGTTATTACATACACAACTGTTGTTTCTTTACACTATAATTATGCTTTATGAAACTGGACCACATCCTTTTTAACTCTCATCTGCACAAAGGGAGGTCTTTTTAGACCTCCTACTTACATCTTGAGTGATATTTAATGTTTATTTTTCTTTTCGAGATATGACCTTTTATCACTTTGTTTGTTAGATCCAGGCCACATCATGAATGCATCAAAATTAATAGTAGTCGGAGAGGCAGTGAAGGCAATACTAGAAGATGGCCTGTAATAGGACAGTGATGAGTTTGATGGTAATATCAGTGACTCAGAGGAAGTTTCAAAATAATGAAGATGTGCTTAGAGAAGAAATTAACTATGAAACTGAAGATAATGTTGAGGACAATCCAAAAGAATCTGGTAATGAAACTGCAGGAAAAGAGTTTGAGGACAACGAAAGTAGTGATGAAGAGGAAGTTACAATCTAGGATAATAGTAATTGTACTTTGCAAACACTTACAACTGTACGTGTGGTTACATCTGGCAAGCAAAGTCCAGAGAAAAAGTCATGATGTAACTCATAACATGTTGAGGGAAGCAATGGGACTGAAAGAAGATGGAAAGGTACAAAATATACAGGACACACTAAATATATTTCTGATTACTGAGATGAGGCAAATAATTGTAAGATTTAAAAATCAGAAAGCACAAAATGCATATGAAAAATGGAACTGTGATCATAATGATAACAAAAAATGGAAAGATGTAGATTAAATAAAACTCGAAGACATTAGAGAGCTGTTGAAGATGGAGGACTCTGGTCGACCAATATTCAGTGCTACAATGGGATTGGGGTGCTTTCAAAATATCTTGAGGTTTCTACGCTTTGAAAATATTCAAACCTGGTCTGATCGCAGGAATACCAACAAAACGGCACCATTTAGAGATATGTTTTCAGGGAACATTACAGAGGCCATACAAGCCTGGATCAGACCTGACAACTGATGAACAATTAGTGTCATTTCATGGTTATTTTCCTTTCAGGCAGTACATGCCATCATAATCTGCAGGTGTATGTAGCTAAAAGAAAATAAATCTGACATCTGTGATGGAGCAGGTTTGTTTTATTTCATTCCTACGTATATGTGTGTGTGTCAGTATTAAAACAATATTTCTCAAAATTACTGTTTGTTGTAATAATGACATGCGCCAAGGGCGTCAGCATAAAAAAAAATTAGGGGGGTCAAGTAACTCAAGTTTGAAAAAATTATGAATTCGAAATTCAAATACCTTATGATTTTCCAATAACATAAAATAATAATTTTACATATCAAGTTTTTTCTTTTTGAAAATCCAGAGGGGTCAAGTGACTCCCTTGCCTCTTCCTGCGGGCGCCCATTGCATGTGCTATTTTAACAAAACATTTGTTACGTAATTTGAACTTAATCTTCGTCTAATCGTGTATTTAAAACATAAATTATTGTCAAGAAAAATTTTAATTCAATGTCAATTATTCTTTTTTAGATACATTTTGCCAGCTTAGCATTTTAACACGTCTGTTTATTTTGTAGACTGCTTTTCATCATAAAGTATAATTATACGTTTCTTCGCAAATTTCAGCAAAATCTGACCTAGAATCAATAAAATGTAAACAATAACCTAGATTTTGTTAGATTTTGAGTAATGATGCTTGATGTCACGCTGTTGTAAAATACGACACTTTTAGTTGACTGGTTTTTTCTACAACATTCTGGTTCAGAGCGTTGGTGTAAACTAGTACTCTGTTGCGACATCTAACTCCCATGATGTCTCTCGTTTTTTTTTTAACACGTTAAGTGCCATAATCAGTGGGGCATTCTTGGAAATCTTCATATTTTGTCATGGGCGAAACCCACGATAATATGTTTAGTGTAACACACACAGCATTTTTACATAATGGATTGATAAATAGACAGATGTACAAACATACAGAACTAATCGTATGACTTATATTAAGTCAAAATGTGACCTTGTATTCAGAAAAATTTAATCCCCCCACAGCTCAAAGTGCTAGCTTCTAGTCTTCTTTAGGAGCAAAGGTACAAACAAAATGTTCTATAGATGTAGATCGTACTTTAACATAACCCTTCTATTACATAGGTACCAAACAGACGCAAAAAGCTAACATGTTTTATGTACTTTTCTCGTGACAGTTTTAAATAATATATATATGTATATATAACGTCTAGAAAAAATATGCTGATGGTTACTTTTTAATACAATATCATAATGCGTTAAACCAAAATGTACCCACGTTAGCAAGAAACATGACCTATTGCAGAAACTGAGAGTACACAATATTCGTCATCGAAGAATTGATATCAATTTCCTACCCCCAGTAATTAATTAGAGCTTTAAGAAATGAGTAACGTCCGATACGATCTTTCGACTAGTAACTAAAAGTATTTTAACAAAAACATTTTACCCACGTGCGTTCACGCAGGCATGAAATGTAAAGTTGTTTTGGGAAAGAGTTTGTGCATTCCTTAAGTGTTAGATCATTGAATCATATTGTCTGGACAAGTGAGGAAGACTGAAATTGCAACCCAGCAGGCGTTACCGTAGATATGTCAATGAAGTGCTGTGTTGTTGTTAAGAGTATCCGGTTTCGTACTGCATAGAATAATAAGTGTCTAATAATGTGTTTAGAACACCACACCTGCTCTCAGATAGTCCACGTGAGTTGTAGAGTGAGACTACAGTTCAATAAACACAGCCAGTAGAAACTAGGCAAACATGGAAGAATAGAAAGAATGAAAGAAATTGAGAAACGATAATAGGAGGAAAATATAGATATTTATAATCATAATTAGAATCAAGTGATAGAAATGGCAAAATGATTATGGAAACAGATAAGAGTAAGAAAGGACAAACAAAGAGATGAAGTGATATTTAACAAAGGACGATTAACTAAGCGGTTGAAGAGAAAACAAAATAATAAACAACAGACAAAAAAATGTTGCGAACACATAAACAAGATAATAGACAGAGTGAAATAGAAAGCAACACTAAACAAAGAAAAGTATACATTGAGACATAAGTAGAAAGGCAACATAAATTTGCAGAATAATAAACAGAAGAAAGAAAGAAGTGGACGAATAAAATGGATTAATACGACTGGAAAATAGAGAATAGACAAATGCCCTTGACAAATTAGCTTGTTACAAAACTTGCATAATCTTCAAAGAAACTATATTTATTTAAATAAACGACGTTTGAACGTAGATATTTAAAAATTTGGTATGTTGTATAGTACAGCTTTTCTTATCTATATAAATTAAAAAAAAACACTAACCCCAAGCAAAAGGGAGTTAAATTAAAGTGATCTAGTTGCAAAATATTGCTCTATTTGTGAGTAGGATTTTCAGTTTTTTTTTTTTTTGTTTTTTTGTTGTTGTTGTTTTAGTTTAAACAAGAGAGAATCATTAATAACCGCGGCTGTAATTAGAACTCAAATTGATCAAGAGACGGAGCTATGAGCTAAAAGTTTGTATTTGAAAAAAAAACAACAAAAAACTCATATCCATACTATGATCCGCTATGCCACGGCTAACTATGATAAACAGGTGAATCATTAAATTATCGGCATTAGTAATTTGGTGGCTTGTTCATTTTAGACAGACTAGTTACACATTTGTTATTTAGCTTTCAGGGAAAATCCACGAGTGTAGGAATTCTAAGGGTAACACATGAGGAAATACAAGTTCAGACCAATTGTACACAATCCGAAGTGACACAATAAATAGTTAAAACGTTTCTAGAAAGGTCTGTTAAAGTGTTTGTGATATCTCAATCAGTATTTTACATAACCTACTACTGAAGGTTCATTTTTATGTTTTTATGGGCACTTTATGAGTCTCTTATATAAATGAGAACGTTTCAAGCTTCATGTTAACTTTTCATGAATTCAGAAGAGGAAAAACTCAATATGTCTGGAGTTCTAAGCTATTGTTGGAAACTTAACAGAAAAGAGTAGAAAATTACAGGCTTGTTTTGACATTATTCACTACCGGTGTAATCCACACATTACAAAATATTGCGTAATTTTATGTATTTGTCTATTATGCACTCTGCATGAAGTACTGACAAAAGAAATTGAATGAAGTCACTAATTTTCAGCGTATGACATGTAGAGGTTTGTTTGTTTGTTTATTTGTAGTTAAGCACAAAGCTACACAAAGGGCTATCTGTGCTCTGCCTACCACAGGTATCAAAACCCGGTTGCTAGCGTTGTAAGTCCGCAGACATGCCGCTGTGCCACTGGGGGGCAAATACGTAGAGGACTCCAGCAAAAAATAATAGGTGTGTTTGCAATATTAATGATATTTCTGTTTAAATTTTTCTGTGGAGCTCCTTTGTTCTTAACCGATGAATATGGACCCTATCAGTAAATCTGAGTAGGTAAGAAAGAGTGAGACGCAACACATTAAAATAATTTATATAGATAAATATAATTTAGCTAATTATAGTTTATAATCTTCTCAGCAGCTTTGCAATGTAGAAAATTTAATTTATTGATATCCCACTAAATTAAATAATAAAAAAGTTACTTTGTTTTAAAATAATTAGGTTATTCATGTTCGTTTATCTTCAGTAATCTGAAAGACAATATGTAATAATATTTTCCCAAATTCCTAAAGCTAAATAGATTAAAATACTTTAAATGATTTCTACGAAAATTCCAAGAGGTAAATATATAATTTCGATAGGCATAACAACCATGGATCAAAATTATCCATACAAGTAGAATCACTTAGATTTTGTTTCGGTCAAAAAATGTTGATTTTCGGAAAATATTTTAATTTTTATTAGATGAAAATTTATGTGTGTGTTTACTAAATTTTTCCTACAATGATCGTTATGACTAATTTAGGACGGGAAAGTCTGAATGTTACAACACAACCATATATAAATTGATTTTTTGTCGTAACTATATTATGTAAGTAAGATGGGTCAATAGATATTCGAATATACGCTTTAACTCAACTAAATTTTATAAGCATTTTTAAGGGTGTGTGTGTGTAAAATACCAGAAAACGATTTTGCCTATGAGTTTTTGCATATGTTCATGACATTTTTCCAAGGATCATAACTCAAATCTAGTATCCTTGCGAGAGATTAGTCCTAAGGTTAAGGTCATTATAAGCTACTACTAAAATAATTTAAATGATGTTCCTGTACAGACTCCAAACTTGTTAATATATTGTCAAACACCATAACTCGAATCTGACATATTGCGTTAAAATTCTCGACAGAGTATCTACGATGATGTGCTCTTACATGAATATTCTTTAACGAAACTTTTAAAATGAAGGTAAAAAGAAACTTATAATTTAGAGCGCTTTCGAAGAGCGTGACCCCCAGTGGCACAGCGGTATGTCTGCGAACTTACGACGCTAGAAACCAGGTTTCGATACCCGTGGTGGGCAGAGCACAGATAGCTCATTGTGTAGCTTTGTGCTTAACTTAAAAAACAATGGAAGAGTGAAACTTTAATAAGCTTCCTTTTAAAAAGATGCATGGTGCAATCTTACTTCAAACTGTTTCAATTTGCTGGAAAACACGATATTTATAGTTTATAATACAAATTGAGGGAAGTAACAAAAGCTATAATATATCTGTATGCTCAGAATAGTATCGCCTACAGGGGTGGGAAGAAGCAGCCGGGCAACCTTGTCCCGAGCCTGGGCATTCAGGGAGGAGTGGGCAACTTTGGCTACTTGTTCACATATATAAAACACAACTGCACAGGGAACTAAGCAAACAAAATACTTTTCATGGGCCAAAAGGTCTCTGTGAGCGGAACTCGATCAGGCAATAATGAGATTTAAGGTTGTTGCAGCTAGAAATGAAGTGTCTTCTTTGATAACAAGTTTTTCTAGAATATATTATGTTTCCCATAAAATCATTATACATCAAAATATTGATCTTCTTCTCTTTTTTTTATTCAGGAATTCTCGCAACTTTGAGATATGTATTTTTTCTCCTATTTAAATTAGCATTTACCACGCCAAGCTTCAGCTTCACCATAAATAAAAAGAAAATGTCAGACTTTCGCCAACAGACAAACCCTACATTTTTAAATTTTTGCTATGGCAAAACAGTGTCTTTCAAATGTCGCGAGACTATTGACTTCATCTACAGCAGTTACCCTATATTATTGAGTACAAAGTTTGATCTCTTGTAATTTTTACATCTTTTCAAATACACTCAAAGAACTTGTCGTTTTTTTTTTGTGTGTGTGTTTGTTTGTTTTTCAGAAACCTAGTATTGACATCCTCACACCCTCTCATAAAGAAAACAGGTAACTTACGTAACTTCAGTGGTAGTATTTCCTTACAATTCGTATTTTACATAAACAAAATAGTCACATTCTTCAGTTGATGTTCTTTCTTTTAACAAATATTTTTAAACAAATTTGCAGAGATACGAAACGGGAGTAAACAGGATTTTATTTTTAGAACGACAGAAAGAAAATAAATGAAATTAATTGAAGATTAAGTCTCGCAATTTTGTATTTTGGCGATTATTGAGCTTTCATAATCATCAGTTATACGTATAGTTATAAAATTCTTAACATCAACAAATTTATTTGTTAATTATCTAAATCCAACAAATACATCAACGAATTGTTAATGGACAAAATAAAATTCATAATTTTATAACGTTTGTTTGTTTTTGTTTGTTTTTAATTATGCACAAAGCTACACAAGGGCTATCTGTGCTCTGCCCACCACGGGTATCGAAACCCGGATTCTAGCGTTGGAAGTCCGCAGACATACCGCTGTACCACTGGGGGGGCTTTATAACGTTTAAAATAAGTTCAAATTGAAGAATAGTTATTTGTTTTTCTTTTTATTAAATACACCCATCTATATCTTGAGTGGCGTTTTACTTATTTTTGATTTATAATTGAGTAGACTGATAAATGTTTCGAAAGAAATAACTTTCATAAATTCGGAGAAAAAATTATGTCGAATTGTATTTAAGAGCTATGGCAAAATCAACGAACTACAACGCAGAACCACTTTGAGTCGGTCCGAACCGGTTTACAAGTATGCTCAGGAAATACTATGGGAATCTAGAATGTATAAAATATATTAATTTCTCCTCCATATGTTTTTAGACGATAAGATGAAAAATAATATTTCACTATTACGAATTATATTAACGATGAAACATATGAAGTATCATAGCGAACAAATTTCCCATTTTGTGTTGTTTTATTCTATTTATTTTAATAAGTAATTATTACTCTCCTTTGCCTAAGCAACATGGTGTTGAGAATATTGTGATGTCACGAGGCTTGAATCCTGTTGTCGGCAAGGTTTATAAACTTACGTCGTGGTTCGAGAATATATGGACATTTGAGTACTATTCGAGGTGTTGAATACTACAAAGTAAAGCTGGCTTGTTTTAGCTTTTCTGCTTTCATTTTGTTGGTTCACTTAATCTTTCACAATTGCGTCGATAACCAAATTGCCCTTTGAGGGGTGGGAAACTTCTCGTCAGGTAAAAACTTATTAAGCTTTTAAACTTGCGATTTTAAGAGAATTGTTTTAAGAAGTAACAGTACGAAAATCGTAAATACCATATGCTAGTGCGTCTTCCCGCTCTCAGGCTTGGTCATGCGAAATAGTTCGAATACTGCAGTGCAGAGCGGAGTTATGTAGACATCTTGATTATAATTTGTAGTTGAAATGTATACAAACGTTTTTACTTGAAGAATACTTTAGATTATAAGGTTGACATGGAACCTTAGTGACTTTAATATACCTGTTGTAATGTCACATTGTCGGTAATGGCTAGCCATTCGGTTTCACTCTGATTATGAATATGATTCATACTGAGTGTGATGATACAAGTTATAACTTGCACCAATACAAGTTGCGCAAAGAGCTATGTTAGGAAAGTAAAAGATCGTTTATTTACTTTGTGATCAAATTATTTCGGTATCATTTGTGATAATATATATATATATAAGAAAAAAAAAATAATCGTGTAAACTGCAGAGATATCCTCCGCCCACATTTTTTTTTTAATTTGTACATTTTGGATAAAAAATCGGAGGCAAATGCAAATAATATCTCGAATCTTTTTGATGTTTTTTTTTTCCTATTTATTTTGAATCAAAAATGGGCAAATGAAGGGGGGTAACTTAAGGAAGGGGATATGTATTTTAATTGTTTATTTCAAATTTTGGGTTCACTAGTTTCTAACTTTTTGTCAGTTTTGGCATTTGAAGTAACTTTGATATGGAGCAATTATTGTATAACACAGTTGTGGTGTACTTTAGTTTTATGTTGAATTTTGCTATGCCTGTTTGTGACGTTGAATAGTAGAAAACCATAAGAAGTTAATGGCATACCCATAGATACGGATTATACTCCTGTATATACCTCGCCATAATAAAATAACTCTCTAAAATACAACTTGAAAGTAACTGACAAACTAATTCTAAATTTAGAAAATTTACCTTTTTACTAAAATGCATTCTTAATCTGACAATTGAAATTAATTTTAATTTTATATTGTAAACAGAAAATTTTCATAAAAAAATTTAGATAGAACTTGTTATTGTAGCCTGTGAGTGCACATTCAATTTTGTTTTTTTACTGTAAAATTTAGAATATTTTTACTGGATTAACAGCCGTTGATGATTGTAGGTCTTTACTTCAATAACACTGTTTTTTTTTTTTAAATATGAAAGGTACAGTGGATATTTAGTAATACAATGTCCATAAGTGTCATTTATTCCATAAATCTACTGTAATCATTAATTATAATGGTGGATTTGTGAATGTTCTGCTTGCCTCGAAAAACCCAAAAGTAGCTTGTACTCTCAGAATAAGGATGGAAATAAAAAAATAAAAAATTTTATACTTAAACTTGTGGAAATTTTAATTATCTGAAAAATCAAAATTATTGCACATAACTTTTATTGCATTGAAATGAAGAACTAAGTTTTCTATTTCCTTTTCTTTCTTTATTTCTTCTTACTAATATAATGTTAGAATAAGCAGGGACTTATTGTTTCATAGAAGCTGTCTCACCCACTAAATTAAACTTGCTAACTTCAAAACCAGTATTTTAATATTTATCAAGCCATTCCTAAACTCTTATTGCATCCAACACATCTGAAGGCCAACACTGTCAGGAAAGTATTTTTAATAGATAAAGATGACTCTTTCCTCCCCCCTACCAAAATTTGTCCTCTTCTATCACACTCACCATTAAGTATGGTAGGAGAGGTTCATCAACATTGAATTTCTTTAATCTTAAACCACACAATTGAATACTCCCTAACTTGTTTTCTCCTGTGAGTTTAATGTTTATAGTTAACTGTTGGTGATAGTGAAGTTAACATCCTCAAAATTAATAGGAAAAATCAACATAATGTAACATTAAGGCTGTAACATTGGGTAGATTTTGACCATTGAAGGTTCAGCACATCTTGCCATTAGGTCTAAACCTTTGATATCACTGATTTGTGTAATTTACTGATGATATTGCCATAACAGCTAGTTTATATTAGAGTGAAAACCCCTTTCTTTTAGTTGTTAGCTATGAAATAAAATTGTGTATCTTAATGTGTATATAAAACTTTATGATATTTATTAAATACATAAAAATGACATGCATGTTGGTTATGCGCATGTATTCATTTCTATGTCTAATACTGTTATACTACATATGGTAAATGTACACTGCCAGGTCAACATATTGCAGCCAGTTAAAATAACTCTAGGTGCCTTAAGCAAATATCTTTATTTAGCAGCTGCCATATCTAGCAGGTTTTTGGTCTTTGTAACATAATTGTTGATTAATTAAATGTACCTAATAAACATAGCAATCAATAAGCAGCAAGACAAAATAAGAGTAATGCTAGCAATTTGAGTTGAAAATCAATGTGGACCTTCAACTCTTGAATCTATTATTAGTCACTTTTTTTAATGACATAATTGATTGATTAAACATAACTTTTTCTCTTTTTCAGTATTAATATTATTAGTATTAGGGTATATTTTGGTTCTTACTTCTTCTAACATAAGACTTATCTTTGCATATGTACACTAAGCACTTGGTAAATTTCATTGAGGCAATGCCACAGCTAAACATGCCTCCACCCACCTCGTGCTTGGTCTTAATGGTCTGCTACAATGCTTGGAAGAAGCTGGTACCTAAGCCGTGTGATTAGTGATATTTGGTAATAAATTATATGACAGCCCCTTTAATCAACTAGAACAATGTTCCTCAAACCATGGTATGTACAAGCAAAAAATAAAATGTTTGTAGCAGGTGCATCCAGCCAGTTGCTTGTCCTTTAGTTAGCAATTAGTGGCAGATAGCTTTAGTAGCTTTACCATAACAAAGGTAGGATATGGTGAGGAAATTTCATGATCAGTATTTAGTTTACTTGGAGATTTGGAGTAATTGGAAACTGTAACTTATATTAGTTGATTATTTTCATGACAGTGAATTTAATTCTAATTGATTATGTGACATTAATAAATGTAATCACTACTCATCGGTAATGAATTATATTGATTAAATCACCTAGATCTATTGATACCTATATTTTGGTAATTTTTGTAATAGAACTTCTGAGTTATAGGCATTATACAAATAAAGATCAAATTTTCTATTTGAGTGATATTTAATGGTGATTACTATTCAAACACTTAATTTCTTTTAAGGAGAAAGAAATTTCACTCATCCTGAATGCTGCCTATTGAACCTTTGAATGTTTAGAACTAGCTATGAATTCAGGGTTAGTGAAAAAAACCTTTGAACTACAGCCCTGTATAACGTACAGACAACAAGGGACCATTTAATCCATAAAAGCTGTCTTTGCACACCCACCCTAATGAAACTGTTTCCTATAATTTTGCAAGATTTACAAAAATGTTAGTTTATTAATGTAAATGCATATGAAATTTTGGCACACGTAATGTAAAACTGGAATGTCTTACAAGACCACAGAAATAGATCTAATATGTGGAGTTACTGGAATTTATATTTTAATAATTGTTTTTCATCAATAGGGAAGGCTTGTTTTGAAGCTTTCTGAAGCTGCCCAGAACTCTTTCTTTTTTGAGAAGTGTGACTGTGAGGACGGTCCTCCTTGGGTAGCCAGCTGAGACCTTTCTTGAACTGTCTACTGAATTAGCCATGTGAGTAAACATCTAATATTTCAGTCATGAGACACCACCTTAATCCTTTTGGGACCAGAATAAAATTATCTAAACTATTAAAAAGAAACTTCCCAGACTTGTGGTTTCTTAAATGTTCTAAATTTCCTACAAGATTTCATTTTTCTATGCAGGAGCTAAGTCTTGCTTCTTTTAACTGAAAATGTAAGTTACTTCTCACACCACTTTATTCACTACATTTATTGAAATGTTGTATCATCTGCTTTATCCAGTGGAGCTCAAACTGTGCCTTTAGCTATTTTCAATCTGATCATAAAGCTTTTCCATTCAGAAGAAAGATTATTTAGTGGTGAAATTCATCAATTTTATAAAAAAACTAAATCGTGCTTTCTTAAATGGGAAAATATTTTGATCACGTCAGTTGTGTTGCAATATTTAGTTAATTTGTTTTTGTGCTTTTAAGCAAAACTAGCTATTTTTGAAGCTAAGCTTCATTATTGGTTGTTCACATCACATGCAAGATAATGAAACGGAGCCTCTACTAATAAAATCTGAGAAAGAGAAGGAAAATCACATTGCAAACGAAAACCTGAATAATAAATAACTGCTTTGGTGTGGTCAGAAAAATCGAATTGAATGTATTGTTTGCAAGTAAACTTCTTGGAGCTGTGTAGAAATGTAAATTTTAACAATTTTTTGTCAATTCTAAAATATTTTTGAGTAAAAAATTGAATTGGTTAATTAGCATTTATTTGCATTTTGAAGGTTAATATGCAGACTAATCTGGAGAGGATTAATATTTATTGTTTGAGAAATAACACAAACATTTTTCTATGATTTCAACACTCTGTAATGGTGTCTTTAATTTATATTGCCTTAAAAATGAATTGCAGTAACATTAAGAAAGCAAGAACATGGCGAAAGGTTACAGAAGGCTGTTAAGTTTCTTAAGATCACTTGAACACTTTCAGAGCATTACAAACTAGCTGAATGTAGCTGTTGTTGTTAAAATACCCATCTAATAAATATGATCTAGGAGCAATATCATTGGAAAAGTTAGTTTTTTCTTGTAAGTTTACAGCACTAAAATGGAATAACTTTGCATATGAGCTTCCTATGCTTAAACATGTTGCCTTTAATACTTGTGTGTGTGTGTGTTTTCTAATATTGTTTTTATTGTTTTAACACTTATATTCATTCACTCATTAAGGTTTTAAATTGATTTTTTTTTTTTTCAGACTAGAAATATTTCTTGGAATCTTCCAAATTTGATTTTAAAATTTTTGTGCTAATCATTTTCAAACATGAAAACCCAGCTGGGAAATCTTTCATCAGAAGTAATTACTGATAAGTCAGTCTTTGAAGTAATTAGAGATACAGTCAGTCAAGGGGTAAGTGACAGAGTTCTAAGATTCATTAAACTATAGCTCATTTTTCAGACATAATTTTATCAAAATAGCCAAACTGGTTTGTTGAATCAGATATCTTAGTTTAACAATTAATCTTTTTAAGCAAGCTTGCAATCATTTGTGCATCAAATGTCATCCATTGTTCAAAAGTAGACTTATCAATTTTTCTCCTTTGTCTCATCAGAGGTCCAAACATCCTTCAGGCGTTAAGGTGGTATTAAAGTTGTAAGTTTATCACGTATATAACTGATTTCTAGCAAGGACAAAATTTGGTTTGGGGCGATGCCACATCATGTAGTTTTGCTTGTTACTTTTTCACATTGAAGTTAAGCTGAATGTTGAGTTTGGGTAAATGATCATTTGTACTTACTACAATATTAATATTATTTTTTTAGGAGGGAGGATGAGATAATGATTCATATCCCAAAAATGTGCTTTTTGTAATACTTGCCAATAGAAATGTGAATTGATAACATTTGTGATTAATTTAAAACTGTAATTTACAATGTTTTTAATATGGAATTAACTTTGCTACCATTTAAATTGCTGCCCCATATTACATTGTTACTTTAAAAAGTATTTCATGCTAATATTTGTAAAGTCAGACTTCATCTGTTTTGATCTTAATTTTTAATAAATAGGTTAGATTCCTTTAAAATATGATTACCACATACCAAGCAACTCTATAGAAACTGAACTATTTGTAAGGTTTATGTGGTGGAGAATCTGCTCTTTCTATTGATTTTAAACATTTCCATCAGTCTTATAAATTTAAATAGCCAAACAGTTTCAAAAGTCTGGGCTACTCTGGTTTGATGCATTTATTGATATCATGGCAAATCCAGGTTCAAATTCTAGATTCTTGATTGTTATCTGTAGTGTCTCTTTTTAAAACAAATGTTAAAATGCATGCACTGACATGGCTTCCCCTCAGAGATTTTGCAGTCAGACTGAGTGGCAGCTCCTCTTTTGGTCAACTAGCTTTCGAAATAGTCTGACTTGTATTTACTGATTAATAAACACTTATTCCAGTTATTCAAGTTATCAAAATATTACCATTATTATTTTAGATTAATTCTGGTTTGTTCAGTTTAATTGGTTAATGTCATGATAGTTAGTGTTTCTGATTATTATTTTAGAGTATTCCAACTATCCATGTCTCATGAGAATGATCAATTCATTGAATGTAATCTATTTATGAACCTAACAATTAATCCATTATCAAATTCCACTAATTGCCCAGTTCTATCCATCACTATGACAAAATTCTTTTCAGTTCAGATATTGAATGGTTTCCTATCTGTAGAAAACAAATGGTCCAAATTATAACCCAAATATATTATCTTGCACTTATAACTAAGTCATTTGCTAAATATATGTTTAATTATGCAATTAATCAAAGTAAATTTCTACTAAATATAGTTAGAAATTCCTAAAAGTTTTGCCATTCATAAATTTTGTTAATTTACTAATTAAGCTTCTATCAGTATTATTAATGTAAATGATATATAAGGCCAAATGCACTGTCCATGATTTACTTGTAACAAGGGTCTAGTTTGACTGGACTCCATTAACAAATTTTTACTTCCTTTCATCCAACAATTCTAGAATCATGTTTTCAACATCCTCAAAGTTAATATTAGTAAGGGATGACTTCCCTTTGAATCCATGTTGATTTTCTTTTATGACACTATTTTTGCCAATGAATTGGGGAAACTTCTGTTGTCAGACTTTCAGATTTTTTTTTTTTTTACTATGGAAGTAAGACTAATTGGTTTAACTGTCCAAGCCAACTCTTATAACCTTCTTTAACAATAGTCATAACATTAGTAATTTCCAATCCTTGGGCACCTGCCATTATTTATTGACTTATGAAAAATGAGACTTGTGTTGCATACAGCACTGTGATTAACTCAACTACACTAATTTATTACTCATGATTATGAATTAAATTGATGTTAAGTATAGTTATAGATTAATCAAAATTACAATTAAATCATTTAATGCCATGAAAATATTCAATTGATTATAATTAATGTTTCAGATTATTACTGTTTTTTTATTATTTTAACTATCGATGTAATTGAAATATTACCATTATTTGTTGTTGTTTTTGTTCAGCTTTATCTATTAGTTTTATAAATCACTAAAAATAAGTGTCAAATCAACATGTATTCCTGATTCAAAATTAACATTTTTTGGCTAACTTTGCACTAGAATATCTATGTACAAAATTTCTATACTCATGATGATCTTATCCTTTACCTCTAACAAGTGTTAATTCACCTGCTTGATTGCCTAGATTAGAAGTAGTTGTATAAGTGCTGTTCACTATGATGTGGTAGTTTTAGAATAGTCTTTGAAAATTTTAGGAGAATCCCACAGGACTGTTAATTGCATTTCCAGTTTGTTATAGGTTTCCTACTACAATGAATATATGAAGCATTTTCATGTATAACTGTTAAGGATTAAAATAACTTAGTTCTAAGTTCTTGTACCTGAAGGTTAAAAGAAAGGTAGATCAAAACAAGTTGAAAATTGGAAGATAAGTATCATGTGAGAACACTATTAATTGATTGTAATTTCTTAACAAGGCTAGATAATCAATTGGAAAATTCTACTAATATTCCAGCTCTGTTTGTGTAAGTGATCTTTTATTTTAAATCCTGAGGAAACATTGTTTAATTCTGTTGCTTTACTTTCTTTTTTGACACTAAGGTTTTAGTATCTATATGATTCAGGTCAATTCCAATATCACTAGTAGAATGAGGTGGTCCACTATTTGATAGTTGTGCAAAAGAAATAATCTTCAGTTAATTTTTTTCTTTCTTTCTGCAGTTAAGTGAAGAACCATTCTATGTCCTTGATTTAGCAGATGTTGTGTACAAGATGAAGTTGTGGCAGACAGCTTTGCCCCGTGTTCGTCCTTTTTATGGTTTGTATCATTTCTAAATTTGAAATAATTATTTGATTAATAATGGTAATGATAATTGCTGAAAAAGTTATTTCCTAAAAAAAAATTGTAGTCAAATAAATTGTTGTTTTGAGCTTCGCTTATTCCAAACAAACCTCTCGTAAAACTTTCTTCTGCTGGCCTAATAGTTTTTATTCAAAAATTTGGAATACCCTGGAGTGATCAAATATCTCCTAATGCTTTTAGGAAGCTGCTCCCCAGATACCTTCCTCCATATATTTCTTTAGTTTTTACCATTGATATAAGTTTAGGAATTTGTTATTTTTGACATTCCTAAAACTTAAAATAATAGGTTGAAATAAGTTATTGACCTGTGGCACTGGTACTATGTTCTCATGATGCAGTTAAGTGGGTTTTCTTACTTACTTGAGAGAGGATGGTGAGGTGTTTAACTTTCTTCGTTGATAAGTCTACCGGGAAACTTAATTACTGATTGTAGTTATGTAAAATCTATTTAAAAAGGTTTAAATATTCAACTTGTTCATCTGTATTGAAATACCAGCTTGTATGTAATATATCCATTTGTTAATACAATGATTCTTAACCTGCAATATCTTATCTTAACTGTAAGTTACATTTCATATGCATAATTTAATTGATTAATTACATAAATAGCTAAATAATAAAGGCTGTCTCCATTCTGCTGAAAGACCATTAAATTTTATCCAATATAAAAATATTTTGGAATGTTAGAGGCTGAATCTGAATATAGTGGTCACTCTTTAAACATTCTTATCGGTGTGTGTACTAAAATGTTATGAAAGTGAAAATTTAAAATAACTAGATCAGGAAACCTAAAATTTTATCATTAGTAGTTTATCTCAACAAAAATCTTTATACTTGATTCTTAATCTCTCAAAAATGTACATTAAAAGAAATGAACAAGGTAACAAGCCTATTGCAATTACTATTTTGTTAATGAATATCTTTTTAAACGGGACATTACCAGTGCAGTTATCGTATGTTGCTAATTTGTTTTTGACAGCTTATTTCAAAAAATATATAAAATACTACTGAAATGCCCTTTTTAATGATATTAATGATTCTCATCAATAATCCAAAACATACCCCATTGATGATTTAGTGCATAATACTGATTTACATTATTATGATCCAGATGGCTTTTCTAAGAGAGGAAAGCATATTTCACAAAAAGGCTTAATTTTTTAATTTTTCAGGTTTTTGATTAACTTCTCATGGTATTGTAGGTCTGTTTTAAAGATTTTTCTTATTTACAAGATATGCAGTAATATCTATTAGTTCTTTCTTTATGAAGTGTCATTACCAACTGAAACGCTTCATAGCTTTAAATGTTGAGAACAGATTTTCTATAATCCATCTATGCAGATTTTGAAAATATTCTTTTTTTTCTATTACACAAGGAATTTTTACAAATTGGGAAGAAAAAAAACCTCTTAGATCAAATGTATTATTTCATTTATCACAATGAAAATTTTTTATTACTATATATGTTTAACAAAAATACACACAAACTGAAGAAAAGGGAAGAACATTGATGTCAAATGAATGTGCATCCTCATTCATCCTGAATTTTTTGTGTGAAATCTACATCTTTTAGTCTCCAAACTGTTTTGTGTTCTATTATTTATGTATTGCATTTGGAGAATCTTGTTTCAATGACCAGCAGTAATTGGCCATCATGCTGATGTTCCACCTTCCCTGACACCTCCTCTCCATTTCACTGATGTCTTGATGAAACATTTCCCCTTGTTCTTCACAGACAGCACTGAGATTTTCAGGGAAATAGTCAATATGTGAGTGTAAGAAATGAACTTTCAAGCTCGTATTACAACTCAACTCTTTGAATTTATTGAGCATGTTATTGACAATATTTTTGTAATTTGGATCCCTGTTGTTTCTTTAAAAAATTTTCAATAACATCTTTGAAGGCAACCCATGCTTCTTTTTCAATTTTACTCATTGTCCTTTCAAACTGTTCTTTGGAAGTCAATTTCCTAATCTGAGGCCCAGCAAAAATCCCTTCAAGTTTCACTTCTGAAAGAGCTGGGAATTTCCCACATAAATACTTGAAACAATTGACATCTTTTTCTAAGGCCTTTACAGACTGCTTCATCAAGCAAAGTTTTATGTGAAGTGGAGGTAATAGGACCTTCTTTGTGTCAATCAATGTTTTTCGAGCCTGGTATCAAGCTGACTCTGCATGGCCATTGCTTCTTTATCCAGTGCTGATTTCATACTCTGCTGTCCCATTCACAAGAAAAAAAAAAAAATTAAAAATGGAACTTTGTGTAACTGGATTGTTGACCGAACAACATACAAAGGACTTAAAGTAACCAATCATGTTCTTTGTATGTGACCATATTAAGAAGTTTGAGATTTTCGTACATTTCTTTCAATTGAATTGAATGAACAATAGGAACAGATGCATATATGTTACCATTGTGAAGGAGAACACCTTTTAGACTTCTTTGGGAGGAATCACTGAACAATTGCCACTCACTTGGTTGATAGGCTTCAGCTCCTAGCATTGGTATTAATTCAGCAATATTGTTGCAATAAACAAGTGAACCTTCTTGCAAAAAGTATGGTATAAACTCTTTCTCATGATTTCTGTACCAGTAAAATTATGTCCCTGGAGAAAGTAAGTTCTTAGCCCGAAGTCTCGACCCCAAAATCTCTGAAGAATCCTTTATAAGGCCCAAATCTCTCATCAAATCATTAAGTTTACCTTGTGTTAAAAGTTGTATTTCACCAGATGTTTCAAGTTGAAAACAATCCCTATCATCATTTCTGTTGACTTCAGAATAAGATGAAACTGTATCAAGAATCTCCGGTGGAGTAGATACAGGTACATCATGTCCATGAGCAACATGTCTTGTAGCAGATTGAAGGTTCGGATAAGAAATTTCCTTTTTATTTCGAGTGCTGTAGCCTTGCACGTTACATGAGCAAAAGTAGCAGTCAACTCAGTGGTTTCTAGGCTCATGCCAGACCATTGAAATTGCAAAAGGCAAAGACTTTTTCTTACCTTTAGTCCATTGTCTCAATCTTTGACACAAACAGTCCAAACTTTTGCAGAGCCCATGATTTGTCTTTAAGTTTTGTTCCAAAATACATATAATAATCTTTTTCGACAAATTCTATAATGTTTGGCATTTGTTTCTGTACAACAAATTTACCACAAATATAACAGAATATGTTTTGATCATTTACACAACCTCTTGTTGCCATAGGAATGAATAAATAATATTGAAAAGAAAAAAAATGTCAAAGTGCATGCATAAACAAATACTATCCAGAAATGGCAAGTCATGCAGCCTGTTAACCATTTGTATACTAGTCATGTGTTTCTTGTGGGTTCTAGAATAATCGATAAGACTCATCACGATTGTCTAGAGAAATCTATTGCCAGTGGTTGTCAACATTTTAAGCATAGCAAAATGTGACCCAATTTCAATGAAAATGATTCACTTATGTAAAAGTACATATGATAATTTGTTAAAAATCTGTATGTGATAGAGAAAAATGAACGTTATTTTCGGATTCAGCTTGCAGGAATTACTTTAGAACATGTAAAAATTTCAAGACAATAAAACTGCCACAGGCCTGTGTGATTTAACTAAAGAGACTTCATAATAAATATACCTTGTTAAGTTTCTTTAGTCGTGTGTTAAATAACATTGTTCCTAATTCTTATTCTAAAACTTTTCTCTAAGATATGTGAACAAAGGATAATAGAATTTAAAATTATCTAAAGGCTGTAAAGGCCAGCAGTGTATAGTAATTATTATTCCGTTGAAGTGTATAGATTTTCATTTCAAGAAACTAGATTAGTTCCAGTTTAACTCACTTTTTTAAATGTTTGATGCCTGGGTAAGAATAGCCTGACTCAAAGGCAAAATAGCACCATTGAATTAAAAAAGAATTGTATGAAATATATTTGCCATCATTTTTCCAAATATTAAAAATATATACTTCTGAGCTTAAATTTAAATTGTATTTATACATAGTTTTATAATTGTAAAATTTGTTGGTTCATTTCAGCTCTCAATTAAATCATTAGTGTTTTGAGTTGTTTTAGCATAGTAATGGCACTTGTAGCCCCTAGTAAGAAAGTCTTAAGTTTTGAAAAAAAGTGGTGCTAATTTGTCACTGTAACTTGAATATAATTTTTCTCTTTAGCTAATCTCTCTTTCTCAACCTTGTTTTCATGGTATGACATAACTGATTATATCTTCTTTAAGAAGTCTTAGCCCACTGATCACAGCACAGAAAGAAAGCTATTTTTTGCTTTTTTGTTAAATGTGAAAGATGTAATGCTGAAGTGGCTGCAGTTTAGCAGAGATTTGCTCAAAGGTCTGAACAAAGCGATAAAAGCTTAGCTTGGTCATGTGTTACTAGAAGAAAAGGTGCTTGTGAACAACTTCTACTATAATTACAATCCTGATTTTATATTTATTTTCTTAAACTGGCAAAAAGCTTACTTATAATTTTATTCTTTATTCATATGGATGCTAAAGTATGATAGGAATTACTTTTGTCTGTATGGAACAAGGTTATATAGGTTTAGTTAAAACATTTTGTACTCAACTGTATTCATATCACTTTTCATTGTGTTTAATTTAAATTAACATACTGATTACAAAAAAAAAAAGGCTTCCTGTGGTTTATGCCAAAACTAGCAGTATAAGGTGATGCATCCTTTCTGATAAGAGTTAGCACACAGGATCACGCAAAGGTCCAATGAATTAAAAAAAAAAATAACCGAGCTCTTTTGAATGGTTGATTATTCTTGAGAAGAATGAGGGATAATGTTTAAGGTAATGCATCCAAATAATAATTTATTGGTCTCATTCATTCAATCTGAATTAGACTGTACATGTGACCATCACCCATATCAAAGTAAAATATGACACTAATATAAATTATACTAAACTTCTTGACCCTTGGTATTTCTATTCTTAAGTTTGGGCTTCTAATGCTACAAATCAAGTTTCAGTACCTGCAGGAGGCAGGGCGTAGATAGCCCATTGTGTAGCTTTATGCTTTGAAATTAATATTGCATGATTGATTGCAGAAATAGGACCATTTGTGTGACTATAAATGCTAGTTAAGAATAGTTTTAAACTAAGAAATAGTAATTTTTTTAAATAAATTTTTAAGTTGAATACACAAAGTTGGCTTAATTACCTGATCTGTGCAAGTTAGGGGGGGGGGAAGATGTCTTACCTGGTAGAAAATTCAAAACTAGAATGTAATATGGGTATAAAAATATAAATATGACTTAAACAATGGTGCTGTAAGCTTACATGATAAGTCATCAGGGAATTTGTGGGAAGTTTATTACATTATGAGTACAGCTTTAACCCCTCCCATCCAATTCCCAATCAAGTACTAGTTTTCAAAATCAACTTCTTAGATTATGAAAAATGTCTCAATTTCTTGCAGCTGTCAAATGCAATAATCACCCTGTCTTACTGGAATTTCTGGCTTCATTGGGAATGGGATTTGACTGTGCCAGTAAGGTATGTTAAACTTTATTATGTTTTTAATCTCTGAGAAGATTGAATAAAATAGTGTTATTGGTAGTTCAAGTTAGTTTCTAATGGGTATTTTTTATTCAGATAAAACAATGTTTTAAGTCATAAGCATTGTTCAAGATGTACATATACTTGGTTTAAAACATTACTTGTAATAAGATTAAAGTTGTAATGTATCCTTTTGGAAAGATTTTGAACACTGTAGATCATCCCTCTTTTACTTATAAGCAGAAAGAAGCAACTCGTTAGGCTTAACTGTTTTATTTTCATCTCTAAGGTAAAAGAATATTATAGCATAAAGTGGTTAAATGTAATTTGCTCAGCTTTGTTTATTATACATGATCCTGTTAGTGATTTTATATACTTATTTTCATATTGAAGTGTACCCCAGCCCTATTTGAAATTATAGGTTGAGATTGAAACTATTCTAAATATGGGAGTTGACAAGTCTCGAATCATATATGCTAATCCTTGCAAGACTCGATCTTTCATCAAGCATGCTGCAGACAATGGTATTGCTCTGATGACCTTTGATAATGAGATGGAATTGTATAAGGTCAAAAATCTTCATCAGACTGCTAGGATGGTTCTTCGTATTAGGGTGGATGACAGTGGAGCAGTATGTCAACTAGGTATGAAGTTTGGATGTGACGTGACAGTAGCCCCGAGCTTGTTAAAGTTAGCCAAGGAATTGGGAGTTAATGTAATAGGTGTGAGGTAAGTAGCTGGGAAATGTTACACAATACAAGTACTTTGTTCCTCATAATCAGTATTTTTATTGACACAATAAGGTTGTCCAGTTGTTAGCTTAGGCTTGTTCCTAAACGTTTTCACTGTTGGTGGAGTCCACATATTTAGTAATATATAAGTAATTTCCTTGTGTTTTTTTTCTATTCCAACACTTCTAAAGAAATATTAAAATCAAAACTGAATGAAACTATGGAAATACATAGTAGTAATAAGAGGAATTAATTGATATCCTTTTTGCGTAATTTACTGATGTTATTAGGGACCCTGTAACCAGTAACCATGAATCTTTAATTGGTTTGCTATATAAATAGTGTGTATATGTAACTTAGAAGCTTAAGTTTTGAGGTATTGATTTTTTTGTATTTTTAATCAACTTATAAAAAAATTCATGGTGCTATTTACCTTCAATGCAGCTGAAAACTTGTTTAAATATAAAAAGAGAGCCCACAGTATAGTTTGGATAACCATAATCTGTACTTGAGTGACATGTTAACCTTTGAAGTTACTTTTTCATTATCACATAAGTACTTTTCTCCCTTTTCAGCTTCCATGTAGGTAGTGGTAGTCAAGATGTTATGGCTTTCAGCAAAGCCATAAAGTTGGCCCGTGATGTGTTTGACATGGGCTTAGAATTAGGTTTTGAAATGACTCTTTTAGACATTGGTGGAGGGTTTCCTGGAACTCTGGTCTCATCTATGACTTTTGAAGAAGTAAGTGTTGTGTATTATGTTTATTGTTATTGTTTATTTCCAAACTTGCCAAACTTATTTTGGCATCAGTTATGTCAATAAGGCTTTTTTTTATGTTGCTACAAAATTGCCATTTCTGTTTAGTGTAGCTAATTGAGGGTTATACAGAAATGTTGACAAAATAAATATGATGAATTTCATCTAATACAATAGTACTTGTCACTGTAATTTTTTATGAATGCTATTGTGATTAGTTACTATATTAAAGTTAGTGATTGAGTATCTAGTTTGTTTCTACCATTCCATTTTGCTTCCCTTTCTTTGTAGGTTTATTCTACTATCAATGAGGCACTGGATGAACACTTCCCCCATGACTGTGGTGTGGACATAATTGCTGAACCAGGCCGCTACATGGTGGCATCTGCTTTCACACTTTGTGTAAATATTATAGCCAAGAGAACCACAACAATGCCTGCAGAAAATGGTAAGTTAATTCCAATTTTCATAGCTAGAAAAAAAATAATGGACTAGAATCTGTGTGAAAAAAGTATTATTCCTCATTTAAAAATTTCAACAATGAAAAGTTGATTTTCCTAACATTCTAATATTGTGTAATTATAACCTGTAAGATTTGAAATTAATTAATAATCAGGTGTACGAATTTAAGTAAACCTTGTACTTTATACAGTTCATTTTGTAAAAGCATAATACATGACACATTTAAAACACCTGAAGAAAGTATTTTATCTGGAAAATTTGTCTTAAGTAGAATACTACTGAATATTTTTCAATCTGTACTTGCTTATCACGGTTTGCACAAGTCAAATCCTTTAAATTCTTGGAATTTTGTAAACAAGTTTTTCAGTACTAGAAAAGCAATGATTTTTAAGCTATAAGCTCAAGACTTATTTGGAGTGGTTTAAAATAATAATTGTTGATAGGATTTTCATAATCCTATCTTTAGCATAATTAAATATCTTACAACTAATCAGTATCTCTAGTCTAAGATCATAATTGCTTATTGTCTAAAGTTTGTTAATAAAGGATGAAATACAATTCCAGTCGACCATAATGAAATGAGTGTCATAAACCTATCTACCAAGCATGAAGTAGTAAAACAGAATTATACTTGTTGTACGACAGTAGTGTTAGGTATATTGTATTTCGTCACGCTACATTCTTAATTTGGCACATTGCTGTTTTCTCAAAGAGTCTATGGAAGTACTTCAACTGCATATATGTCCAATTACATCCGTTGCTGACATGGTAGTGTGATATAATATTAAATATTTTGTGCTCTTTTGTTTTTACTGTCAGATCTAAAATTTGTAAATACCATTATACCCTAAGATGACTGCAAGTGATACCTTAGTTCTGCAATGCTGTTTATTGAGTTTACTTTACGAGCTTGTTTCATTGTGTGTGTGTAAATTAGGTACTTGAAAGTGACAGTCCTCTTTTGTTCTCTGTCTTCTCCCATTAGCTTGTGCAAACTGTTTAATTTTTCAAAGAAATTTAAAATGTGCTTTGTTTTTATACAATTCAAATGTAACTTTTTAGGAGAATCTGTCAACATGTACTACCTGAATGATGGAGTATATGGATCATTCAACTGTATAATCTTTGATCATGCTGAAGTCACTCCAGATCCCCTTTTGGTAAGCAATTTATTAAACCTTGTCATATCTGACTTTACCAGTCCTACCCACCATGCAAGTCTGTAAATTCTTCACCTACAATTGTTTGATAAAATCTAGTATTTAAAAAATGTTAACATCAGAATTAGGGTAAGATTACTGAGATACAAAAGAAAAGTTATATTCAGCTGTTCTTTTATTATTAACCTTATCCACACCAGTGAGTTTTTCAGGTATTATTTGCACACCAGTATATCAAGTTTCAAAATAAATTAATTTTAAATATTCCAAAAAGTTTTACTAAAAATATTTTAGAACTGATACTTTGGTTTTGTAACATCTTGAACATTTTTCCTCAAGAAATTAATTAACATGCATTTTTGCGTGGCTGAAAGGTCAATATAAATTTATATAAATGTATAATGTTATGAGATTTAAGCTATTTAGCCTAAACATTTATGTTTTCAACGAGGCATAATTTATATTTATTTCCTAATTTTTATGGTGGTTGGAAGATCAGTCAATTCTAATGAACACGTACAGGGGTTATTTACAGAAAATTTTTCTTAACTGTTTGACAACTATCTGGTCATTATAAAGATTTTGCATGTGAAATTTGAAAATATTCATATATATATATATATATATATATATATATATATAATATATTAATTACGTAAAATGAATATTACTTTTACATGATAGTTAGGCAACATGAGAAAAACTGCTTTACAAACCTTAAAACTTAATAACAAAATTTGATATTTTACATATGAAGCATTGTAACGTTTACTGATAAACGGCCAAATTTCATTAACATTTGCATACAAATTTATAAGATATGCCATAACTATAACAAGCACAAAATAGTTACAAGATTAGTCCCAGGAACTGAGCCCGTGCTGAAAGAGTTAAGCTCTTTTTTTTTTGTTTTTTTCAAGCTTACTCAGAAACCAAGAGTTGCTACTATAGTTTTGTGGTTACTCCAGATGAAATGTTGAACAGTTATAAAATCTTTGAGTAATTTATGCAATGATGAGTTTTACTGTGAGCTTAACATTCTAGATGGAAGTTGTGTATTGGTTCATTGATATATTTCAATACAACCTATTGCTACAACTGTTGTGGAAGGGAAGAAGGATTTGCTTAATTTTTTTTCTTTTTTATTGTAAAGAGTAAATACACATTAGCATCTCTTGCTAGATATTGCTGTCTCTTTGTAGCCTGAAGACTCTAAAAGAGATGTGTGTTGCAGCAGTCTGTGGGGCCCCACTTGTGACAGCATGGACCGTATTTTGCAGAGTTGTTACCTCCCTGACATGAATGTTGGAGAATGGATTGTTTTTCAAAATATGGGTGCCTACACCTTGGCTGCTGCTTCTACATTTAATGGCTTTGAAAAACCTTCTGTAAAGGTTGTTCTACCTTTAGCTACATGGTGAGTGTTGTTTGAAAATTGTTAATCTATACTTTTGTGAAAATGCAATTGGAATACTAAAGGTGGTGTTTAAAATTTACTTGTTTTTCTTTTGTTTTTCTTTTTAGGGTGTACTTGCAACAGTTACCAACATGGCCTAATCTGATCAAAAACCTAGGACTGTGTCAAGCTCAACTAGACCTGTTTGTAGATGACCAGACGACATCTCAAGATGTGTATTTTCTGCACGTGGCTGAAACAGTCAGTGTATGAGACTGTTACAGTTCATTCCACTTCATGTGTTTATTGTAGTTTTATACTTGTAACTTTCACTGTCTTGGTAGAATGTGGAGCACTTCACCTAGAAAGTGTATTTTGGTGTCAAGTTGAATTATCTTAGTATGAGTTTCAAGCTGTGTTTGGGGGCTTCCTAGAAATATTTGGAAGGAAAAACGTTTACCTGGTATGGCTACCATTTACCTTGCTAAAAATTAAAGCTTTGATATTGGTGGTTGAATAACTTGCAAGTTAATTTTGTCCTTTGTGTCATTCCTTTGAACTATGGGATTGCTCTACCAGCTTCTTAAACTATACATTGTACTTTATTTAGTGTAATAAAATAGTTTTTATTTCTTTCATATTCAAGAAAGATTTATTTATTAGTGGCTTTTTATTTGGGATGGGGGGTGAATGTAGGAAATCAATACACAGAACACAAACATCATTCTTTAGATACACGTGATTTACAAAAGAGGCTTCCTACATCTTTTCTATGTAACTTAAATTCCTTCTAGATATTGTGACTTGATATTAAACAGGTTTGTGTATGTATGGTAACACCTTAAATGTTTCTAAACACCTACCATTATACATCACCACTTCTGGTAGTAAGTATGTAATACTTGAAAACCATTGGGAAATTTCAACTCAAAAGTTTGTAAGATCTTGTTATAAGGTTCTGGAGACAAATATTTCATCTATTATATAGAAATACAAAAATAACCTAATCAGAATGCATTTAATAGTTATGCTTTTGTGGTAGGGAAAGAAAACTAGTAGAGGGAGGTATAATAAAAACCATACTCTTACAGTAACATTCAGACTTGTGGTAAGAAAGCAGACTAGTAGAGTTTAAAACCAAATTTTTAATAAACATACGAAGTTCCTTTTCAGTCTGTTATCAATCTATCAGAGCAGACTGTACTTGATCTTGCATTATTCTAATTATGGTGTGCAAGTTATCCAGTATAAGCAAATATGTTTAATATTCCATAAAATGTTAATTGACTAAACTTTTCAGCAAAGTTCTATATGTGAATTTAAAATGTTGAACTTTATATCATAAAATGGTTAGTAGAACCTCAGGTCTTCTAGTGATTTTACAGCCAAATATTGTTAATTTGACAAAAGGTTTAATTAAAACAACACAAGCTACAAGGATTAGAAGGACAGATAATGTTCTTTATCAACGTTCTGTTGTCATAGCTAGTGTACACATTCTTCCTTATCAACGTTCTGTCGTCATAGCTAGTATACACATTCTTCCTTATCAACGTTCTGTCGTCATAGCTAGTGTACACATTCTTCCTTATCAACGTTCTGTTGTCATAGCTAGTGTACACATTCTTCCTTATCAACGTTCTGTCGTCATAGCTAGTGTACACATTCTTCCTTATCAACGTTCTGTTGTCATAGCTAGTGTACACATTCTTCCTTATCAACGTTCTATTGTCATAGCTAGTGTACACATTCTTCCTTATCAACGTTCTGTCGTCATAGCTAGTGTACACATTCTTCCTTATCAACGTTCTGTTGTCATAGCTAGTGTACACATTCTTGAATCCATTTGTTGGAGACTGTAAAACAAAATTAATAACACCAATCAAAGTGGTAATTATGACGATCAATGCCTTTCAGCCAATATATCTTTGTTTACTCTTGTATTACACACTTGTTTACTGTGTTGGTAAGTCGAAGCAGTATTAATGTTATTCCTTACCATCAAATTCCTTTGGGCTGTAACCTCTATCCAGAAAGTATTTATTGATAAAACCTGTATATATATATATATTATTTACCCAATTGAATTATTAATTATACTATTTACAGAACTTTCAATTTACACCAAAACATTCAAACTACCAAAGCGGGGTTGAAGTCATCGAAGATGACGAATGTATAGTTATATTTGTTACCACCAGAAAGCGCCACAATGTGCCAATATATGTCATCAACGATGACGAGGTTATAGTTCCAAGTTTTGTCACTAGAGGCGTGTCGTTAGGGGCGGCCATTATGGGTGTTACGTCACAAAGTAGTGAACGTATTTTTAGGCCACCATGGCTCATCAGGTCAATAATTAATTCGTCCTAAAAAAGATTATATCTTACTTACTCAAGTGATTAAAGATTTCAGTAATATTATTATAATAAATTTTCTGGACACAATTCTTTTTAATAATATATTTTCTCACAATAAAGATTTTGATATCTGATCTACATATAGATGCACATCTATTAAGGACGTATTTACATGAAAACGTTTTACAACAAAAATTGGGGTCGATATTCTTTGTCTCTTAGCTTTAGAAATTCTGAACGTGGGACCTTTGTTTCTTATTTTTATTATGTAGAACTTCTCTAGCCAGATTCTTAGCTCCCTGTATTGTTCCTTGTTTTCCAGCATTGACAAAAGGTTTTTTTTTTTTTCGTATGACATCAGTTGCTAAATTTATACCTGATTTAACTGCCTGTTTTCCCAAGGCTAATGCTCCTTTTTCAGAAGTGGTATAGCACAACGAAATAGGTTGCTTAAAACGTCTCCGGCCCGGCATGGCCAGGTCGCGGGTTCGAATCTCCTTCACACCAAACATGCTCGCCCTTTCAGCCGTGGGGGCGTTATAATGTGACGGTCAATCCCACTATTCGTTGTTAAAAGAGTTGGCGGTGGGTAGTGATGACTAGTTGCCTTCCTTCTTGTCTTACACTGCTAAATTAGGGACGGCTAGCGAAGATAGCCCTCGTGTAGCTTTGCGCGAAATTCAAAAATTATCTACCCTATAATTCGGTATTTGTTTCTCACCGCCATTAAATGCATGTTGAATCTTTATCCTCTCGATTTTTTGTATATAGTCTGACCATTGAATACTTACTTGGCTGAAGTTGTTGGTTGTAAGATATCTAAGTATTAGAGCTATCGAACGTGGTGTTATAAACTTACTTCTGTAAACAGACATGCACACAGCAGCAATCGTCGTATACCTAAATGGGTCTACATCACTGATTGCGAGAAACTCATCCCTGAACTGGAGACAGCACCATCGAAATATATGTACATCTGATCAGCATTATCTAAAGAAAAATAAAGAACGATAGATATAACATTCAACAAAACACAATTAATAATAATCAATAATGATAGTGTTATTTTTTCAAAAAAAGCACAATTAACAATGACAGTATTTTTTCTTACCTGAACATCTCTTCTTGGAAATCAATGACGTACTCTTTCTCTCGTCCCTGACAGTGCCAATCCAGGAACTTTTATGTTACCGATGGTGTCGGGAGAGTAAAAACTGGCATCCGGGATAGGTTCTCGATATTCCTGATTGGATTTGATGTTATAAAGATGAGGAAAATATTCTTTCTCCAGTTCTTCTAATCCAAATGTTTTTTTTTGGAAACAGTGACAAAGACATAGGTATAAAATTATAGCTGTCAGTTATTCTTGTTCCGAAACTTTTGGCGGTCGTTATCATAATAATCTCATGTTTTATCCCTTGACGAATAAGATAATTCAATATAAAGTGACCGGCCCCCCAATGGCACAGCGGTATGTCTGCGGACTTACAACGCTAGAATCCAGGTTTCGATACCCGTGGTGGGCAGAGCACAGATAGCCCATTGTGTAGCTTTGTGCTTAATTACAAACAAACAAGCGACATGCGGGAATATCCCCCTGTATTTGAAACAATCTCCAAACCTGCGTGCGTGCTGCCATCTATGTTCTATTTCATGAAATCTAAATGTTTATGTTTTATTTTCATTACAAAATTGCCAACTTTGCAGGAACACATATATTAATAAAAACTCTATGAAGACACCTTCTTTATAACTTAGATATTGTTATCTAAATAATTTTTATACTTTTTTAATGATTTTGAGCTCTTATTGACTTAGTTTTGTTTATATTTATGTCATTCACTGGAGAACACTTCTCTTCCAATTTTCTTCATTATTTTTCACTATCCAATAGTGATTTCAAGGAATATTACTGTTAGATATAGAAAATACAGCTTCTTTCAATATTGAACAAGTAGTACAAAGGTTCAAATTTTTGTTTGGTGGATAACTGTACTTTTTTTGAGAATCAGTCTAAAAATATATTGCGCATTAAAAGGGTTAATGTAGGGTTTGTAGTTCTATTTAAGATATTTTATTATCTTATTTCTTATGTAACAGCGGAGATTGGGAGTTGCATATAATAGAAATGTTTGGGTGGCTTCATTTATACTTTAGGAGTTATGAGAACGTGTAAGAGTAACTGCCTTCCCACAACTGGCTGCAGACAGTGAAAGGCAATAGGAGTTAAGACGTTGTGACAGTAAGCACTCAACTCCATACCCTTAATTGATATTTCATGCTTGCTGGCTAGTTTAACATCAGCCTTTGGATTTTGTTTGGTAGATGGATATCCCCAACGCATTTCGGAGCTACTACCGTGGGCATTATCCGTTATGACTTTAAGGAGACAACTAGGATTGACAATGGTTCTTTACTAAAATCTTCTTAAAGCTTATTTTATAATAAGTTCATTGTTGTTTTATAGTGCTGATTTGAATCATCTATTAACAGTTAAGGTAATTAATAGTATTAAAGCTATTTATTTCATTATATACATAGTTTAAGGACAACAAACTAAACTTTAAAATGAAAATACAATACTCAAGCCCTGCCCTTATCATTCAAATATTTATCAAGCCTTCCCTTAAATTGACTGCATCCAACACATCTGAAGGCAAACCATACCAACAGCCAACTACCCTGTTAGTAAAATAAAGCTATCTTAGCTGAAGAAGAAACCTACCATTCCAAAATATATATTTGTGTCCCCTAGTCTTATCTTTCTCACCACTAAATATGATAAAAGATGACTAGTCAACACTATCAATTTTCTTAACAATAATAAACGCCTAAAGGAGATCCCCTTTAACTCTTCTGTTTTGAAGAGAAAATAATTACAGAGATCTTTTATGACAATCTTTCCATCCAAATAGCCCTCCTCCAGTGGAACAATGGTAAGTCTACGGACTTACAACACTAACATATGAGATTCGATTCCCCGCAATAAACACAGCAGGTAACCCAAGGTAGCTTTGATATAAAGCAAATAAACAATCCTCTGAACTCTTTCTAACAATTCAATGTTCTTCTTAAAGGTAAATCACCCAAGACTGAATACTATACTCCAAATGTGGTCTAACCAATGACGTATACAATGGCATTATAACCTCTACAGACATGTATTCAGTATTTACGTATATAAAATTTAAAGCCCTATTTGTCCTACCACTAGCAACAGCACATTGCTTGAATGGTGTGAGAAACTGATGAACTAAAATGCTAAGGTTCTTTTCTTC